GGATGTTGCTCTTAGACCGTTTGGCCACTTTTGGACTTCATTTCTGTTTCATTACATCCACTAGTTGGTGTTGGTAACTTTATTTCATTCCGTTATCGAAATGTGTTTTTTTCTGATTTTTTTTTTGTTGCAAATCTGGTCATGTAACGACGATGAGTCAGATAGATCAGTGGTCGTTTTTCAGTCAGTCAGCCGATCTCGCGGAAACTCTAATTGAGCAGCACTTGTCAAATATGGAATATTTGAATCGTAAGGAACCAAACATCAGCACCATATTTTTTCTAGTTTCCCACCAGTTTTGCACAACTTTATAGCTTTCCCATCTTCCCCTGCAAATCTAATAGTATTTTTATGTATTTCCCATCCATAATGTATGAGAAAGTATTCCCGTTCCCATCACTGTTGCCCCTCATAAAAGGGCGAGCACAGGCCCTTTCTCCTCATTCTTCCCATTTTTCTTCCCTTTCTTTTCTCTTTTATTTTGCTCTTATTTTCTCTCTTTACATTGGATAAAAGGTTTAATTACCCAAGTTTGAGGTATTGCCACACACTTGTCTTCGGACAAATTGGTGACCCAGGATCCGGGTGGGTCAGCCGGCTGGCCCAGGATCATCTGCCAATTCAAAGAAGTTGATGTGTGCTTTCAACTTCACAACTGAACAAGTCATTGCGTGCAGTCATTACTTTTCCACTCAAGGAGTCTTCGTCAATTCAAGGAATCGACCTGTTGAGGTGTTTCCAATCAATCAACCGATCATCCAAGGAATCGACCTTCTGAGAGGTGTTTCCAATCAATCGTTTAGCCAAGGAGCCGACTTGTTGAAAAGCGGTTCCATCTCATCGCCAGGAGTCGCCGTGATTCGCTGTTGAGCTGTCAGCCGACGTCCTATCTATATTCATACTACATATTTCTATCAATACTCACAATTTATCCAAGAAGTCAACGTGATTGTTATCGAGAACATTCAGCCGACGTTCATCCAATCGTGTAGCTGCTCCTACACAGACGACGTAATTGTAATCATGTGGACACAATCAATGTGCTCCAATCAATATCAATCAATGACCACAACGTATCAACAACCAAATGATCCAGATGTCCAGAGATCCAATGACCATGTCATCCAAATCCAACCAGATTCAAGTTATCCGTTCCTTCAATATTCACCGGCACATCACATGCCTCCGATGGTAAATCAAGCTTTGCCACATCAGTTTGTCAACTATGCTCCAACACCTGTCACTTTGCCACCAATTGAATTGCCAACATTTGATGGTAATATTCTCAAATACAGAGCATTTATTCAAATGTTTTCATCTGTTATGGACAGCAACACCGCAATCTCGAATGCTGTTAAACTCGTTTATCTTCAATCTTTGGTCAAAGGGGAAGCCCAACTTCTTATTCAACATCTTCCTCACAATTCTGAGAACTACAAAGTTGCTCGAGACATTCTTCATTTCCATTATGGCAACACCGACCTACTAGCAGCCAAACTATTCTGTCAACTCGAAAAACTGCCACATGTGCACAGTGATTGCGTGAGTGAGATTCAATGTTTTTGGATTCAAGCAACGACAACTCTACTTCAACTGAAAGAAATCGAGCCAGAACACGACAACGTCACATTGTCACATATGCTCATACGGAAATTACCGCGACGTTATATTGAGAAGCTAGTCGAAGAATCTGATAACATTTGCCGATTGAAAGCCTCCACACTACTGGATATGCTCAAAAGGTTCATTCAACATGATCTCTTGGTAGACGCCATCTTCAATTACGACGAAGAAAAATGTGTGACAAAAGTCCAAGACCCAGAAGAATTGCACAACTACGAACAAGGAAACTGTCATGTCAACTCATCTTATTCAACGTTTCAACTCCCGTCAAGCCCGAGACAGTTTATGCATCCAGAATACTATCAACAACAGCCTGATTTCAAATTGCAAAATCAATCATGTGAAGTCACTGATCAAGGTTCTTACAGTATCCCGGAAACTTCCAACACTAGCCAAACGCTTGATTCACCGTCTTTTCTATTGCATCCTCAAGAAACAGCAATCCAGCCAGCAATACCGTTCTATGATAATCATGATGCAGACTCAACATCACAAACATCTACAATCTCAAAGCAGCTCGTGATTCATCCTGATTCAACCGTTCCGGAAACCTACAAGTCCGATCAAGTTGCTACCCCACCACAGACATCGACAGTGGTCGATCAGAAATCTTTTGTTTCTTATTGTTCTTCTCATCCAACTCCGCTCCAACCGCTCGTTCACCAGAAATCAACAATGTCAGAATCTTCACAATGGATGTCCCGACTCATCACACAGTTTGCATTGGTTATAATAATCATAGCTCTCCTTCAAATTGCTCTGTGCGCCGTACAGTTCATCCGTTTCGTCATCAATTGCGTCACTCGAACCTACAAGATGATCGCCATCAGATTGTTCTCCCACGAACAAGACCTTGCATCATCCGGTAAACAGTGCTCCTTCAATGTCACACTTTGTTTTTCAGCCGGGAGCGCCAGTGAATGGATTCACTGGATCAATTCAAGTTTTGGACACCAGAAACAACATTTTGTCAGCTTCTACAACCGATTCGCCAGCAGATTTTGGTCAGAAAAGATTCAACTTCAACTTCAATTTACTTACAAGAACCTGCCGCCATCATTTACCCAGACCTTGATGTATCATCGACTTCCTCCCTAACTGCTCAACCACTGGACAAAAAGCTAATAACTCACTTGAATCAATTGTTCTGAAACCCCATCTTCCATCTTACTTTTTTGACCAATTACGCCTTTCTTTCTACCTCTTTTTCTTTTCCTCGGGAGTGTCAAATATGGAATATTTGAATCGTAAGGAACCAAACATCAGCACCATATTTTTTCTAGTTTCCCACCAGTTTTGCACAACTTTATAGCTTTCCCATCTTCCCCTGCAAATCTAATAGTATTTTTATGTATTTCCCATCCATAATGTATGAGAAAGTATTCCCGTTCCCATCACTGTTGCCCCTCATAAAAGGGCGAGCACAGGCCCTTTCTCCTCATTCTTCCCATTTTTCTTCCCTTTCTTTTCTCTTTTATTTTGCTCTTATTTTCTCTCTTTACATTGGATAAAAGGTTTAATTACCCAAGTTTGAGGTATTGCCACACACTTGTCTTCGGACAGCACTTTCTATACGAATATACCTATATGAACGAATTCCTAATGAGACAATATCTAATTTACTCTGAATTTGTCTTACTTGGTTAGCAAAGCATTAACAAATGCAGTTCGAACAAAGTTTTTAAAAAAGGATTCTTTCAAAAGCCGTTTTTTTCTGTTTCACTGCTTTTTTATGAATTGATTGTATAAAAATCGAGCGATATGAACGCTAAAAATTGTGTATGGCTCATAATGGTGCACTAATTTTCTCTGATTATTTCTTCCGAGTTTTTTTCAACCTACATATCATCTCAAAACCAATATTACAAACTTCTTCTAAAAACTAAATTTTTTGCGAATGCTTTCGATTCTGAATTATTATGGGGTTATTCAGGGGTAGCGAAAAATCAATTTTTCGCTTCTTTTGCCTTATTCTGGGGTAGGTGGCACCCAAAATCCGAGGGTACTAGTGAGTAGGCATGAGGCTAGAATGAAAGAATGGGGAGCTAGGCAAGTTGAAATTGAAGAGAGTCCAGTGACGTCATTTTTTTTCTTCTCGGGTACAGCTCTTCGCCTCGAAAAGAGATGAGGAGCTCCTACTAGCTGTGTGCTCTTTTTCTTTTTCGTTCAGAGCTCGGCTGCTCGGGCCCCAAACCCTTTCTCATCGACCCATTTTTTCTTTTCGACATCC